TTATATTTGTGATAATAGATTATTTTATAAAGATGGCATATTTTGTACTATGTACAAAGTCTTTCACAGGTGAAGAAACAACCAAGCTTTTTCTTGAAAATATCTATCAATATCATAGATTACTCAAAGATATTATATTGAATAGGAGAATTCAATTTGTATAAAGATTTTAGAGAATCATTTTTAAGATTTTAAAGATAGACACAAAATTATCTTTGACTTTTTATCCTCAAACTATCAGGGACATGAATCTCAAAGAAAGAAAATCCTTGATACACTCTTGTGTCATTGAAGAGAACTAGAAAGTCACTCAAAAGGTAATGTAATATTAACTAGAATGACTATTTCCAACAATAAGAGATTAGAAAGACTTGAAACAAGACTAAAGACTAGAAGGGCATTGATAAGAGTGAAGAAGGCTTCACTCTTGTCTCCATATATACTCTTAACTAGGAGGTATGTAGAGATGTCCTATTAGACCCCCAAAACATGTTGACTTTGCTAGCCACATGTCTTAACTTGCAAGATAAGTTATCTATGTATGCGCCACATGGTTAACTTATTTCACAAGCTACTATGCATAGTTAACTTGTTCTACAAGCTACCAACATGTGGTTAACTTGTTGGCCAAATTTCCAACCTACAAACACATCTAAAATCAAAACTGTGTGTATAAAGCTTCTAAGAAGCTACACTAAAAGACTTTATAAAATTAATCTATATTTATCTACTTCTATCTAATTATATAAGTAATTATTGAAATAAATATATATGTCCATAATATTATCCTCTTTTTTGGAGACAAGTTGTACGAGGAGCGGTCTTCATATGTTGAGTAAGTCTAAGATGTGACGAATTATATTTGCCACATACTGTGATCTTTACTTTTTTTGAAGATGGTTGATAGGCCGTCTTAGCCATTGATAGTGTCTTATATCAAGGCAAGAAGACCGCCCTATTATTTGATTGTTGTTGAGGCCTTTGTAACTTCTTTCAAATAAACTATTTAAAATACTGTCAAGAGTTGTTCCTACCTCTAATAAAATTACTAAAGAGTAGGAGTCTCTTCCAAAGTCGTGTTATCAAATACATTGTATCTCACCATCTATTCGAAGAAGGACATATTGTTCTTGAGGATCTTCATCTTGATTTTGTCATCTTGATGGTTGTAACAATCGCAATGTCTCATTTGGTAAGTCTGCAAATAAAAGCTCTTGAATTGAATCTATTGATTTTTGGTTCTCCATTTCCTTAGTATCACAAATACATACAAGTTACAAAAAAAGATAGAAGGTAGAATGTTATCTTCTTTTGATTTTATTTCTTTTATAATAAAGATTTGCTATTCTTCATCTTGATTTTAATTAACTAGCATTGTCAAGGTAAAAAGACTTTGCCTCAAAAAAATACTAGGCTCTTGGGTGCCACTAATTACTCAATTAAGTCTTGAAATAAGAAAGATCAAGTTTATACATATATATATATATATATATATATATAACACTTTTAGATGGTATTACACCAAATATATAAGTCTTAAGTTCTCCAAATCACCCAAAATATGATAAAACCTCTAAATCTTTAAATATCCTTATGGGATATTATTCCCAAACTTCAAAAATTCATATGTTCCAATCAGATTGTTCAAACATATTTAAATTTTATATGAAGTAAAAATGTACTTCTAACAACTATCTCAACAAATTTCAATTGCAAATTTGTTACGGATCTCAAAATATCACCAAAACCCTAACAATAGATTCAAATCCTAGTTTTTATATATCCACGTGTAATTTTCTTCTTATCTCACAAACTAAATACTCAAATTCTACAAAATTTATATATATAGCTTTTTAACACAATAATCTACCTTTTTCAAAAGGTTTAAGTCAAAAATTTGTCCAAAAACTCAAGATATGGCTCCAACCATTACTATGAACAAAATCACTTACTTACTACCTTTGATTTGGATGCACTAACTTTGACTCTCTATAACATCTTCATTTGGAATCCAAATTCATCAAACAATATATGAAAAGTGTAGTCAAAGAAGTGTTCTCTCGAATCCCAGTTGCTGATCCTTTGTTGCTTTCTATAGACGTTTGTTATGCCCTAAAGAGTGACAATAGGTATGAAATTAATACTTTAACTTTGAAAGCCAATAACTCCTTCATAAAAACTCCAAATCATACAAAATTTGCATCCAATCCATATCCAAAAACCTAAAACTAATGATTTTAGCCTCCAAAGCTCAAATGATTTCGAAAAAGAAACCCTAATCCCTAATAAGGCCTCGGGTAGCCTTCTTGAAGTCCATTAGACATGGCCTAAGACCAATAGGAATGAAGATTCCCATTCGTTGCCTTCACCCAACCATGTCTTGCTTTCAACTATCTCAATAAGCCTCTTACTAGTTAAGATTTTCTTCTTTAGGCTCTAATCTCCTTTCAAGGCTTCATACTAAACATTTAGGTCCTATAATTTTTTAAAATGTTGTAATCAAAATAGATAAAATTAAAAATAAAGTTTTTTATATCCAATATTTTTAAATTAATCTATTAACCATTCTAACATACACCAAGACTTATGAACATAATATATGTTCTAAGTAATTTTTACATACTATAAGCAATTATAGTATGACAGTGTATCAATAATTGCTAGTTGGTTTACAAATACTTTTACCTTATTCACATGAGCCATGAGATCATATATTTCTTCCATCTTTATTATTAAGAACTTCTTCCTTATCCATAGAATGTTAGTAAGATTTCTACTTTTATAGATGTTACAAAGAATCTTTCTTGCTTCCATTGATCTATTGCAAGTAATTATATGTGAAAAATTAGCATCATGAAGATTTGTTCTAATCATCCCAAAAGCCTTGTTTTCACAACATTTATATTCTTTCTTCAACTTGACACTAGTATTATTGCTTGGAGGCTCTTTACTTTCATCAACAATATTTCAAAGATCTAATAAAGCCAACAAAAGCTTTATTTTCTTCTTCCAATGACACTCACCTTTAAACTCTTTAATTACTATAAAGGCCTCATTTTCACTTGAAGCAATGTCTAAAGAAGAAGAATATCAAAGAAAATCAAAAAAAAAGAAAAGATTGAACTCTCAAAAACAATGAGAAGATGTTGCTGCCTTAAAAATCCAAAATATCTTTTTTGTGAGTAAACTGGTGATTTTACTCTTTAATCACTCTCAACTTCACTTAAAAGACTTCTTACAAGTCTTACACTCTATCTTAACCTCTTGTATAAGTTTTGCCACTCTTTAATCATCTTTAATATCAAATAGTACTTCTAATCTTACAAAAATATTCCTATCACTATAAGATTATCTTTTAAGAATTTAAGCACATAAAAGCACAATGTTAGTGTATCAATGATGTAATCTAGCAAAGAAATATAACATCAGTATTTTAAAATATTAGTCTAAAGTATTTAACATCCTCCAAGACTATGAATGCACTTAACAATAAGTAAGAGCAAAACTACATCAACAATTAGATGCAAAAGTCAGATTAGATGATACCAAATCTTAACATCAACAACAACCATAACATCTACTCTTTATAACTAGAAAGACTTTAAAGAACAATAAAATTTATAATTAAATGTGAGTGGACTCATAACCTATTGAAGAAAAAGAACTTTGAAGTCACAACACATAATATTAGTAAGATTGTCCACAAAGAGAGTATGGAATAAAATATCTCTTACTTCCAATACCTATTACTTACAAGCGATGGTTGCTACCTTAAAAGACAACTTTCACTCTTTAACTTTTATATACATGGTTTTATAATCTTTTGGTTTGCAACTTACAATAATGATATCATATGGTCCTTGGATCCATTTGCATCTTACTAATGACAAAGATATCCTATGCCAAACATTAATTATTCTTACCTAGTCTTTGGATATTTTTTAGTTCATACTTTAGTCTCTTAACTTTGACTCTTGAACCTAGACCTTATCTTATATCTATAAGATGCCCTTTCCATACATCAAAAGTCAATTCTTTGATACTTAGTAATTTATCTAAGGTGATATCTTCTATAAGTTAACTTATTGTACTTTCACTTTTATTTACTAATTTTAATAATTATACTTTAGAATAGATTTGAAAAAAGATAGTATCAAAACAGACTCTTTGCAATTATGCATGGTCACTAACCAAGTTGAATGTTGATGGAGCCGATGTTTAGTTTTGTGTTTCAATCTCTATAGAAGTAATTTTATACTTCATGACTTTTGGCTAGTGAGAGGAGGTTTAGAAGGAATTGGAATTCTTGTCTTGCTCAGTCATGTCTAAGATAATGGACACAAAGGAGGTAGTATAGGGAGTTAAGTTGGTTTGTCAAAATTGGTTATATTCTTTTCCAAATAAGTCCCCAAGCTCTATTTAATTGAAGTTAGCCTTGTATACTATTCAAATGGCAATGAAGTCTCTTCATTTGTTTCAAAAAAACAAAGAAAAAAGAAAAAAAAGAAAAAGTTGCCACATACTTCTTATTAGATCAAGTACATACATGGCAACACATACAAGTAATAGTAGATCAAGTACACACAAGTAACACTTGTGGGATTATTTAAGGCACACTAAATCTAGTTAGCCTTAAATTCAATTATAGGTCACTAACCATAGGCCCCCCTCTTTTAAGTGGGGTTTCATAATTAAGGCACCACCCTGTTCATGCAAAACCTCATCCATCCATCCGTTGGTCACCAAGCCTAGACCATAGATGAATGGCGTTCATCCCACATTGACTTGGCATGATCGTCCACCCATAAATTCACCCATCCAACTAGCGTACATCCAGCGCACGCCACAAAAATCATCCATCCAATCGAGGGTAAAATTCAGCTGAAGAGGAAATAATTCATCCAAGCGAATCAAATAATTTATTCGTTTACTGGAATGAAAGTGACAGATCATCCATCCGCTGCTTCGATGGCTTTGATGGTCGGGGCTGCTGCTGGCTTTGTCCGCTTTTTTCTTCTTCTTTTTTTTGGTTTTTTGGTTTTTGTTTTGTTTGTTTGTTTTGTTTTGTTTTGTTTTTTCTTTTGAGTTTTGCTCTGCGGCGCCAGCACTAATGATTTTCAAAGGGCTCTTCTCTCACTTCTCTCGGTGCTGTCCTTCGATGAGTGAGTGAGTGAGTGTTTTCGAGGAAGCGTCGTTGGTTTCTGAATGTTGACGCAGAAGCTCTATTCGGGATTGATTGTCTTTTGAATGATTGTACTCGTGGGGGGGAACCATACCATTACCATAGGGTGGGAAGGGGAAGGGCGTGACGAGTTGAGAGGGTCAGCTTTTAAGAGACCTGCAGCGTGATGCACCCTCTCGACCTGTTTCCAGATTTGCTCTAGAGATATGGCACTCGTCTGGTGAGTGGCGCTCGATTGGACGGGTGTAATTGTCGATTTCGAACCAGGGCCCTGGAGGGAGGCTGCCAATTTACCGGTGAGAATTGATTTCCTGTTTGTGAATTTTTTTCCATGGATGTTATTTTTTTCCTTTTTGTCTTTTTGGTAAATTTAATTACTGTGAAATTCGACGTGGCCTTGTGTGAATTTATGCATGATTTTGACGTTTGTTTTGTTTTGTTTTGTGTTTTTTGCCTGGAAATGAAGAATTCATGGATGGACTCGGCTGCCCTGCTATGCGTTTTCACCGTGGTTTAGCATGAATCCCTGCTGCGTGGTAAAATGCATTGGTCGGATGTATTTTGAGCAACAACTGATGTTTTCAGCTGAGTACATGCATTTCATTGTCTACGGTCGTAGTGGAGTCCCGGCACGTGAAGGTGTGAGTGAAGGCATGACTGACTTGGGTTGAAGGTACACTGGAATCAAATGCGGTGGTATGATTTCACACACTTCGGAGATTAAGTGTCGCCTGGATAGAGTATTGTACTACGATGTGCATAAACGAAAATTGTACTCCGTGAAAATTTAGGCTTTCGACATCTGCATGCTGTGTTAGAGCCTTTATGACTCAGGATACGTTTCTGGAAGTCTTCGTCCAAATGAATCGAATCTTAGAGAGCATGAACAAATTAGAAAGGAAATAAATAAATAAATAAATAACTGAGAAAAAGTGACAACTCAAGGCATATGTAAGAGTAATTTGGGAAAACAAATTTATACATGAGGCGTGTATACTGACATATCAAGATCAGTCTCTTCAGAAGTGAATGACGATTAAAATTAATATCACACGGTTTTGTTTTCTGGATGCCTTGTTGGAGCTCAGTTAAAACTAGCGAATGATTGTAGATAATGCTGTTTGCGGACATAGATTCTTTGGAAGCCTCCCTTTGTTTGTATCTTTGCGACTTTCTGGCACTTCGTTCTCCATGCCAGAAGAGAGACTGTTACTCGCTCAGATACAGCTGCTGAAGTACTTGTATGAATGTAGATTTCGATGATTATGATATTTTCAAAACCTGATTAGCGAAGTTCTGGTTCCTGGTTTTGCTGATGATTCACGTGATGTCCTTATTCAGGAATGGACACCATGTGTGTAAGTCTCATAGACATGCCTAGGTTTTCCAGACGTCCACGATCAGCAAGTAGTGTGCCAGTCGAGGCTCTGAAGATGATTATCGAAATTGACACTCGCCTTGTTTGTAGGTGTATTCTGGACAAAATCGTTAGCCTTCTTCAAGTGAAACTATCCTCAAACTAGCTAAATGAAAACTTATTTTTCTTGTTTTTTAATCTTCCGTAGCAACCTTCCGTCTCCTGCACCTTTCGTCACGTTCGTCAACGTCAGGCTGAATTCTATGATGTTTGCTGCATAAGGATACACAGTCCTTATCCATTGCTTCTCCAAGTTGATGTCCTCATTATCTTTTTGTTTCAAAGCGCTGCCGTTTA